ATAACATTTTAAATTTAAAAAATGGTTAAAATCAAGTAGATCTATAAACATATGAAAATCTTGAAAATGGACGGTGTAGATAATATGTTGTAAAATGCACTATTTCTGAAACTTAAAATCTTTTTATTTTTCATGGTCATACATCTCAATGTCGAGATGATCAATCAAAGGGTTTTTCAACATTAAAACTACCTTTTCCAATGGATTTTTGAGGTGCATCCGTAGTTCTACATTATAAGGTTGCATACTGATATAAACTTTTTCCTTATTAGATTTGTAAAGTTAAAACATAGTTGGTTGACTTATCTCTGATCTAGTTCCATAGATAGACTGTGTTAAGAATCTCCTTTATTGAATTCTGCTTTACAGAGATTGTACTAATGGCTTTCATCACTCTCTAATTATCGATTCACCACATAGACTGAGGTCTATACATATCAAATTTTCAATCTTCTTTTCTGGATAATTCTCTTGACATTCTTCTGCCAAGGGAAAACATGACTGCAGTTCATACTAAGTAGACAGATCTTGGCATTGGAAGAATAAATTTCGACCCACAATCAACATCTCTAATAATAGATAGGCTACAATTTTAATGTATCCACCCAAACATTATCAAACTAATGACAATTCACTTCTATATTTGTAACATGGAAGAATATGCCACATGTTACCAAAGTTACGTAATACATATTTTCGAATGGTTGGAGAACAACACAGTAACATATACCAACTTGTTTATTGTTCGAAGTACACCATGTCCTTGCAATTCACAAAGCTCGCATCTAACTGAAGACCTCATTATTACATGAAGGATTGCAAGGAAATGGACAATCAATCTCTTTCACTTCTTTTCTCTCAAAGTACCAGTCTCCAACAGCCTCTGCAATTGTCTGTTCATGATATTTAACAAATTTAGTCAGCAATTTCTGATATGTGGAATTCATTCAAACAGTAAATGAATCAAAATCAGGTTAAAACCAATTTATGAATCAATACAGTCCTTGAGTACTCTTTTTCTGACAAACCAGGCCTTCAAGTATTTGTTGAAGAAACATGAAAGGCCCTGATCCCAAAAATGGCAAAAACCTAAAAAGTCATATTAAAGGAAAATTACTCTCTATTAGTTACAATAAAAAATGCAGAACAATTCTAATTTGTTTCCGTTCACTTCTCAAAAGACGTTTATGAAAAAATCGATCTTCCTACTTCGAGAATGGGTTGGACATAAAGGAGATGGATGTCTCTGAAGGAAGATGGATGACCAGTAATACACAGCTGTTTCTAGACTTCAAGATTAAAGATTATGAATTGGATGACATGAATTCAATGAACTTTTTATTAGTGGAAAGAGTAGAACATGCGCTAGCCGTTGATGACTGTTTGGAGGAAACCTGATCCTACTTCATATAAAAAACCAGTGAAGGTTGACAGCTAGCCACCTCCTGTTTATCAAGATAATCATTCTTGTGGAGATAAGCCCTCTCCCGTCTTTACTAGATATGGATATCCATTCTGTCACATGTTTGAGGGTAAACTTGGATCAAATTATTGGTTGCCCATATAAGTTCATATTTACAGGTTTTGACTGTCAACTGAGTGCACCAAGTCTTGTCACCAGTTGATTTCTTTATGATCCAGATTTCTAGAGTGAAACATTGATGTTGTGTCACGTCCCAAGAATTTACAATACTGATATTCCTGAGATGTGACAGTCAAAACATATATACATCTCTTGATAGGACAAATTTACAGTGGCGAATTCTTATAAAGTAACAAAAGAAAGTTTAAGCACAACTACAGTATCATTCAGAGTTGATCCTGACGAGCACTCAAAATGAAACCGCAGTTATCCTGAAAAAATGTTTACCATAATTTGATGAGTTTGGCTACTCAGTAAGTGATCATCATAATCCTAAAAATAATCATAATTGAAAGATATCAATATTTTCAAAAAGGAGATCTATTAACAGGAATGCATTAACAGTTCACTTTAAACAAAATGCATAATTAAATATAATTCGAATAATTGAAATACGTATAACATTTTAACGGCAATGTATAATTCAAAAGATTCTACAAAATTACCCTACTGGCGTCCCAAGTAGGTCACCTATATACCCCATCAGCGTCTTGATGGGTCCACTTAATCCCTATCGATGTCCCAGATAGGTCCACTTAATCCCTGCAGGTCCACTTATACCTCACCGGCGTACCGGATGAGTCCACTTAATCCCTACCGGCATCCCGGATAGGTCCACTTAAACATCACCGGCGAACTGGATGAGTCCACTTGCATACTTAAAGTATTTCTAAATCTCTTTAAACATTCGAAAGCAGCAATATCATGTACTCAACATATCACTGAAATCATTAATATGAATTTCACTAAAACCATTAATAACAATCACTTTCAATTACACTTCAAAATATTTTGGGCTCAAATTTAGAAAGGTAGCAGTTCGTAAAAACATTCTAGCATAAGTGCCAATCTAATATGTATAGAAAAACTCTTATAGAAAGTCAAGAATACGGAATTATCACAATTTATGGGATGTCAAGTCGCAAATAAACATTTCACAGACAATGCTATAATTAATTGCAAATATATCAGTTTTCAAATAATAAGGCAGTCATTTGCACATGAATTTACAATGTCTAAATATTCAAAAACAGTAGAAAGAAATCTCACAATTTTACTAAAAGCAGAAATATCACATTTATTTCTAATAATTTTACAGTATCTAAAATTTTCTAACAATAGACAAGAAAAATAAATAAATTTATTATTTAGAATTTACAGCATTTAAGATTTCTATCATAGATAAAATATCACAATTTTATTAAAAAGATTATTTTTCAAATTAATGAGGTCACTTGCGCATAAAATTTATCACGCCTAAAATTCATAATAATAAGCAGAAATAATTATTTCATTTCATGTTTAAAAATAGCAGATTATTTTCCAAGATAATGAAGTCACTTACCTAAAATATTTGAGAGGGAGCTTCCAATAAAAATTCGGCTAAAAAGCGAAAAAGCTCACTGCATTTCGACTAGAGAGAGAAAGATCTCAAAATTTTCTAGGGTGGAAGTCCTTGCCTCTCGTATTTAAATTCTTAGGGTACTATATTATATTCTTTTATTAAGTTACACCTCACACATGAGGTGTAACCGTTAAATTACACTTTAAACGCTTAAAGCCCACGTCCTTTAGTGGACGTGGCAAGAGCAAGGCGGCAAAAGCTTTAAACCAAAAGCTTTTGAAAATAGTGATGGTCCCTAAGGACCATCATGCTCATGTGGACGATCTCTTATTAAAAGTTTCTTTTCTCTCTTTCTTTTTTTTTTTTTTTTTTTTTAAATTTTAGGATCATTACATTCTTCCCCCCTTGAAGAAATTTAGTCATCTAAATTTGTGTACCTGATTACTGAAAAAGATAGAGATATTTTTTCTCATATTCTTTCAACTTCATTATTATTTTAAGTACATTCTTTTTAAATTTCCTAAGAATCTTAAACCTATTGCTCTGATACCATATTTGTCACGCCCCAAGAATTTACAATACTGATATTCCTGAGATGTGATAGTCAAAACATATATACATCTCTTGATAGGATAAATTTACAGTGGCGAATTCTTATAAAGTAACAAAAGAAAGTTTAAGCACAACTACAGTATCTTTCAGAGTTAATCCTGACGAGCACTCAAAATGAAACTGTAATTATCCTGAAAAAATGTTTACCATAATTTGGTGAGTTTGGCTACTCAGTAAGTGATCATCATAATCCTAAAAATAATCATGCTTGAAAGATATCAATATTTTCAAAAAGAATATCTGTTAACAGAAATGCATTAACAGTTTCACTTTAAAAAAAATGCATAATTAAGTATAATTCGAATCAATGGTTTAAAAAGCGGATCGGTGACCCGGATCGGGCATCTCAAAAATCGATCCGGATTGGCGAATCAGCGATCCGGATCAGGAATCGGCTGAATCAGTCAGATTTAAGCTTCAAACAAATTCGAAAAAATTGTTAAAATTCATTATAAATAT